AAAAAAAAAACTCTTACTTTCCAGAAAAGCCTTTTCAGAATGAAATTCTTCTGGGCTGCTACTTTAAGTTCTGTAATTAAACAAAGTATCTTCCTCAAAGTATTGTCTTTAAGAAATAGTTCAGATTTCAGTTGACTGAAGTGTTTAATCTTCTCTTCAGATCTACAGAAACACACACACACAACAAATAAAGTCTAGGTAAAAACAAGATACGAAGTTTACAAATAACTGGCAGGTTGGTAAAACTTTATGGAATTTTCATGTCATTTTTGTATTACTAATTACTCACCAGTAGTAAACCTTGCACCCCCAAAGTGGACTGTTTTTTGACACCTTTTTTAACTGCCCTTGACTTCAGTGCTACCCACTCAGGAATATAGTCAGTGTACCTGGTAAACTTCTGTCCTTTCTTAGCCACCCTCATATCAGGTACTATAATGCATGAACTATGTATCAACTCACTTTTTTGTTGTTTATTAAAGAAGCTTCTTTATAAAGAAAACTTGCTTTCTCTGCTTGATAGAGAAAGCCAGTATGGCTTGACTGAAACTATTAAATAAACAAACAAACACACCTGATAGATGGGCACTGGTAGCTCATTCCTGTAATTCTATACTCAGGAGTAAGAGCTGAGGGTTGCAGTTCAAAGCCAGGGCAGCAAAGACTATGAGATTCTTATCTCCAATTAACCCCCAAAAAGCCAGAAGTGAAGCTATGGCTTAAGTGGTAGATTGCTAGGCTTGAGTGAAAAAGCTAAGAGACAATGTCCAGGCCCTGAGTTCAAGCCCCAGAACTGGGAAGCAGGAGGAAGGAAGGGGTTGTTAGGGAAAGAAAGAAAGTAAAGCCAGAAAGGAGAGAGTAGGAGTGTTCTGGGAACTGTGTATTTAAACTTAGGGCAGGAATGTGAGAGACCCAAGAGCTGGAGATGGAAAATAAAAAGAGACATTATGAACATCTTCATAATCTGTTAAGAGTTTAGACATTCACTAAGGGAATGGAAACCATTCAAAGGTTTTTAGAAAGGGCTGGGAACGTGGCTTAGTGGTAGAGTGCTTCCCTAGCATGCATGAAGCCCTAGGTTTGATTCTTCAGTTCCACATACACAGAAAAAGCCAGAAATGGTGCTGTGGCTCAAGTGGTGGAGTGCTAGCCTTGAGCAAAAAGAAGCTCAGGGACAGTGCTCAGGCCCTGAGTTCAAGCCCTAGGACTTGGGGAAAAAAAAAGCAAAAACGGGGCTGGGAAGATGGCTCAGTGGTAGAGCGCTTGCCTTGCATGCCTGAGACCCTGGGTTCAATTCCTCAGCACCACATAAGCAAAATGAAAAAAGCTGGAAGTGGCACTGTGGCTCAAGTGGTAGAGCGCTAGCCTTGAGCTAAGAGCTGAGGGACAGCGCCCAGGCCCAGAGTTCAGGCCCCACAATCGGACCCAAAAAAAATAATAATAAAATAATTTAAAAAAAGCAAAAATAAAAGCTTTGGGCTGGGAAGGTAGCTCAGTGGTAGAGTGCTTGCCTTGCATGCATGAGGCCCCGGGTCAATCCTCAGCACCACAAACGCAGAAAAAGCCAGAAGTGGCGCTGTGGCTCAAGTGGTAGAGTGCTAGCCTTGAACTGAAGAGCTGAGGGACAGCATCCAGGCCCAGAGCTCAGGCCCCATGACCAGCAAAAAAAACAAACAAACAAAACAACAACAACAAAAAGCTTTCAGAAAGGAGTTACATGATCAGATTTGTGCTTCAGAACAATTTCCTATTGCAGTAAGACTGAAAGCAGAGACCAGTAGGAAAACACTGAGATCAGAGATGGTTCTGAGCAAGTGACAGTAGAAAGAAATGGATGTTATCCAGATAAACTAGAGGCCCAGTGAATCATGGCTGGACACAGAGGATGGTAAAGTAGGGAAAGGGGAGGTAAGGGCAATGCTCAGGACTATAGCTTAGGTGATCAGACAGCTTAGGGTAATAATATAATTCCATGTTAGAAGCACAGAGAATGATTGGGATCAGAAAGAAGATGGTGAATTCTCTTTTGAATAGGCTGACTTTAAGGTTCCTGTGAGATATATAAGAGGTAATGTCCAGTAGATGCTTATACTTACTGGCCTAACCTTATAAATTATTGTATCTATTACTTCCACCTCAACTCTCAACTCAGACCAGAGAGTTGAGGTGGAGATAAAAATACAATAATGACATGTTAGATGGAGGGAGGGAAGGAGGAAGGGAGGGAGGTGTCAACCACATATTCAATATAGAACTAGGAAAGATAAAGGGGAGAGAGAAATCTCTCAAGCAGCTACCATAAAAGGAGACATGTGAACATGTTTACAATCTGCTGACAGTTTAGACTTTCCCTTAAAAGCATACCATCATCCCTTACCTATATGGCTTTTGACTTCCTGTAACAGCACTATACTCACTAGCATACACAGGATCTTGTAAAAGAGTAGCCTTCTGAAAGAGGAAGAAAGTAGGAATTGTTAGAATTTGTGTTTGCTGAAAATCAGTTATTTCGACCTTTAGTTAATATCTTGCATCTACTCTTTCAATACTTCCATGGTACCAGATTTACTTATTTAATTCTAGGGAATGAATTAGGAATTCTAGGAAATTTTTTATTACCTAATTTGTAAAAAGTTTTTTGTTTTTGTTTTGTGCCAGTCTTGAGGCCTGGCATTGTCCTTGAGCTTCTAGCTCAAAGCTAGCACTCTACCACTTGAAACACAACACCATTTCTGGCCTTTTCTGAGTAGTTTATTGAAGATAAGAATCTCATGGACTTTCCTGTCCAAGCTGGCTTTGAACTGGGATCCTCTGATCTCAGCCTCCTGAGCTAGCTTTCAGGCATGAGCCACGAGCACCCAGCTATACAAAGTTTTGAACATAATATTTCTCAGGATTTGTCAAATACATAAATACATACAAAATAAAATTTTTTGTTTGATCCTCAGTCTCCCCTCAAAAAGAAGACATTTAATTGTGAGTTCTGACTCTTCTTCAAAAGTTACTGTGTAAACCAGGTGTTAGTGGCTGATGCCTATCATCCTAGCTACTCAGGAGGCTGAAATCTGAGGAACATGGTTTAAAGTCAGCCTAGGCAGAAAAGTCCATGAAACTATTACCTCCAATTAACTAGGAAAAAAAGCCAAAAGTGGGGGTATGGCTCAAGTGGTAAGGTGCCAGCCTTGAACAAAAAGCAAAGCTATAAAACCTTAAGTTCGCCAGGCGCCCATGGCTCAGGCCTGTAATCAGGAGGCTGTGATCTGAAGATCAAGGTTCAAAGCCAGCCCAGGCAGGAAAGGCCATGAGACTCTTATCTCCAATAAACCACTAGCAAACCGGAAGTGGCGCTGTGACTCAAGCAGTAGAGCGCTCACCTTGAGCTGAAGAGCGCAGGGACAGTGCCCAAGCCCAGAGTTCAAGCCCCATGACTGACCAAAAAATTCCCAAAAAACCCTTAAGTTCAAGCCCTTGAACTGAACTGGCGTGCACACGCACACACACACACAGTTACTGTATAATCTTGAATTAGTCACTTAGAAATTTTTGTGTTTCAAGCAATTGTGAGGCTCTAATTTCAAACAGAAAAAAGGAAAGGAAGGAAGGGAGGGAGAAAATTGAATATTTTGCTTTAGTTTTCTAATTTGTAAAATAACCTGGGCTGGTGATTACTACATAAAATTATTTGACCCTACAACAGTACCTGTTAACCTAGTAAATCAAAGAAATGCAGAAACCTATTGATAATGTTCATTTTTTTCCTGAGGAAGTCTTTGTTACCCTAGTTGACTTTGAAAGGCACTGGTGAGGCTCAATAGTGAGTATGTTGCTTACTTCCTTCTACAAAAACTCAGGTTCTTCTGTAAGACACTACTGTTTAATAAGTAGCTCTCTTGCTGGTCACCAGTAGTTCATAATTGTAATCCTAGAAGCTACAGGATCTCAAGAGGCAGATATCTGAGAGTCAAAGTTGAAAGCCAGCCTGGACAGGAAAGTCTGTGAGACTTATGCCCTATTAACCTCAAAATGCTATCAGTGGAGTTGTGGTTCAAGTAATAGAGTGCCAGCCTTGAGTAAAAATGCTAAGGAATATCATCCAGGCCAAGTTCAACCCATATCAGCACACAAAAAAGCAGTTCTTACTACAATAGGCTGAAGGAAATATCCCCTGAATTTTCCAGTGCATTTGCCTTTCATAATAATTAAATTTCAAGGCCAAATTTCCAAAATGAGGAGGCAACACAGAGAAGGCATGATTAGCTTAAAAAAATATACTGTTGGGTGCTGGTGGTTCAGGACTGTAATCAGGAGGCTGAGATCTGAGGATCTCGGTTCATAGCCAGCCCAGGCAGGAAAGTCTGTGACACTCTTACCTCCAATAAACCACTCAGAAAACAAGAAGTGGCACTGTGGATCAAGTGGTAGAGGGCAATCCTTGAGTCGAAGAGCTGAGGGACAGTGTCCAGGCCCAGAATTCAAGCCCCATGACCGATAAAAAACAGTAACAACCAAAACTGAGGTCAAGGTTAATTTAGAAGAGCACTTACTATAATATAATTGTTCCATGAACTTTTTAAGTACAGGAATATTGATGAAGTTTTAGAAATAATATACAAATGAAGTTCCAGCTCCTTTTTCTCTGGGTTGGAATTGCTCTGTAAAGGGTAAGCTAGGAGAGTATTTCCAAAATTAAACTCATTTCTGTTCCTGTCGCAGGTGAAAGCGACATCACTTGGAAAATCTGTGTAGTCTGGAAATCCCTGGGCCTCTTCTGGGATTTTTGTACAAGATGGTGAGCTGACAGCCTTGCCAGAAGCTGCTGTGCATTGACTACTTGTCCTGGAGGGGGAAGGTAAGGGTCGAAAGGCACCTTGGCCACCAAGTGACAGTTTCCTGAAGGCTGAAGGACAAAGCATTGGGTCCTTTGATGGTGTTCTGCTCTCCTGGTCGCACCTGTGGGTAGAATTTAGCATTAAATGTGATACTCAGAATATAACAGTAAAGGCCAAGCACCAGGCCAGTTTTGTTTTGTTTCATTTTAACATAAAATCTGTTTGACCACAACACTGATCATTTTAGTGCTAGCTACAAAAATTATCCTATGTTTTCTTGATTAGAAGGCTTATCTTTTTTGTATTATGGTATCTATCTTTCATGGTACCTCCATGAAAGTGGAAAAGAGGAAGGATGGAAGGGAGGGAGGGAGGAAGAAAAAAAAGGAGGAAGGGAGGGAAGAAGAGAGAAAGAGAAGAACTCAGAGACTTTGTTTTGTTTTTGGCAGTTGTGGGGCTTGAACTCTGGGCACTGTCCCTCTGCTCTTCAGCTCAAGGCTTGAGCTCTACCACTTGAGCCACAGCACCACTTCCGGTTTTCTGGGTAATTTATTGGAGATAAGAGTCTCACAGATGTTCCTGCCTGGGCCGGCTTTGAACTGTGACCCTCAGATCTCAGCCTCCTAAGTAGCTAGGATTACAGGCATGAGCCACCCGCACTTGGCTCAGAGACCTTTTTAAGCTTCTTTCTTCCATGTAAGGATACAAGAAACTGACCATTTGTAATCCAGAAGAAGGCTTTTACCATGTTATCAGATGGATGTCAGACTTACAAACTCCAGAGCTGAGAGAAATAAATTTCTAATGTTTAAAAGCCATCAGTCTGTGGTCCTTGTTATAGCAGGCCACTGACTAAGACAGTGATAAATGTGTCTAGCTTAGAAATGAAATGCATACTTGAATATTCCATAACTTTTGCATACCCACACATATACAGACATGCCGTAATACTGGGTTTAAACTTGGGGCCTGGGTACTCTCCTTTACACTTATTCACTCAAGGCTAGCACTCTACCACTTGAGCCATAGCTCCATTTCTGGCTTTTTGGTGGTTAATTGGAGGTAAGTATCTCATGGACTTTCCTGCCCAGTCTGGCTTCAAAAGGTGATCCTCAGATCTCAGCCTTAGTTGGGCACTGGTGGCTCAGGACTTTTACCCAACTACTCAGGAGGCCGAGATCTGAGGATTGCAGTTCAAAGCCAGCAAGGGCAGAAAAGACCACAAGAGACTCTTATCTCCAATTAATCATTCAAAAACCGGAAGTAGAGCTGTGGCTCAAAGTGGTAAAGTGCTATCCTTGAGCTAAAGAGTTTAGAGACAGTGCCCAAGCCCTGAGTTCAAGCCCCACAACCAACATACACACACACACACACACACATCTCAGCCTCCCTACTAGCTAGAAATACAGACATGAGCCACTAATGCCCAGCTCTTATATCTTTTTGTTTTGAGGAGGGGGGAGTCCTGGTGCTAGAACTCAGGGCTTGAACACTGTCTCTGAGCTTTATTCCACTTAACACTAGAGCTTTACTACTTTGAGCCATAATACCACATCCCGTTTTCTGGTGGTTAATTGGAGATAAGAGTCTCAGAGATTTTCCTGCCCTAGGCTGGCTTCAAACAGCAATCCTCAGATCTTAGCCTTCTGAGTAGTTAGGATTACAGTGTGAGCCACCAGCATCTAGCTTCCCATACCTTTTTAAGATAGTATGAAGGGCTGGGAATGTGGCTTAGTAGTAGAGTGTTTGTCTAGCATGCATGAAGCCCTGGGTTCGACTCCTCAGTACCAAATAAACAGAAAATCCAAAAGTGGCACTGTGGCTCAAGTAATAGAGTACTAGCCTTGAGCACAGAGAGGCTCAAGGACAGTGCCCAGGACCTGGTTTCAAGTTTCAGGACTGGCAAAAAAAAAAAAAAAAGATAGTATGAAATAAGGATACTGGATCTAACAGCACCATCGTGGCCACAAGGTGGATGCTAGGGAATTGGATTTAACTGGTGCCATCTTGCCTTCATGGCAAGGAAGTTCCACTCCCTCAGTCGTGTGTGCCTGAATCCCTGGAGGGAGGGCTGGGACTTGGATGATAGATTACTGGACCTGTCAGTTCTGTGCCTTAAACTCCGGAGACTCTGAAGTTTCCTGTGATGCTGCCCACTGACCCTATTTAGGTCCAGACCAGCTCAGAAGCCATTACACCATGCCTCATGTCTCCTAGCTCTCCTCGGTCACCATGGTGTCCCACTTCAGCTCTCCATTGGGGTTGATCTGGTGTTTTGGTATTGTTTTTCTGCTCTTTTTTCCCTCTCCTGCTCTCAATTTTCTAACAGTGTTAAGTGTATTCGAGGGGCTGCCTGTCTTATTTATGAGTCCACCTGCATTCACCAGCTTTCTAATAAGGACTCTCGATTCAACATCTCAGAATGTGGCTTCTCTTTCTCATGACTGAGTTCTGGTACTTTTTCTCTCACCCCAACTCCAGCTGAGGATCTAACTCAGGGTGTGGAAGATGTTAGGCAAGCTCTACCACAAATCCAGTTCTAAGGATCTAATTACTGAGTTTCAGTTGGCAAAATATATAAGCTCCTTAATTGACTCTTTTGACTTGGGTGAGGTTTATGGATAAAAATAAGAAAAATGAGATTTGAAAAAATGCTTGACATTTCTGAGTACTCCCAATCTCATTTTTCAAGAGATATTTAGGTAATTTTTTTCTTTTTTCTTTCTTTTTCTTCTCTTTTCTTTGTCTTTTCTTTTTTTTTTGTTTGTTTGTTTATTTTTTTGTCAGTTGTGGAGACTGAATTCTGGGCCTGGGCGCTGTCCCTCAGCTCTTCAGCTCTTCACTCTCCCACTTGAGCCACAGCACCACTTCCAGCTTTTTCTGTTTATATGGTACTGAGGAATAGAACCCAGGGCCTCATGCATGCAAGGCAAGCACTCTACCACTGAGCCACCTTCCCAGCCGATATTTAGGTAATATTTTATGAAACAAATGTAGCTAACTGACTCATAACTTTATGTGAAACCAAATTTAAATCTCAGTTTTAGAAACTGAATATGATAGCCTAGTAATCAATATTTTGAGGTGCTATGACTTTATTTCTGATAAGCTTCGTTTATTTTAATTGAAATTTGACTATGGTATAACCTTTAAATTTTCATCATATCCCAGCCTTTTGCCCCAGATATATGTGGACATTTGATAATCACTTAAATTACATAAATGAGATTAATCTTTAGAAGAATCTGAAGTACATCTTATTTGTGAATTTACAAACTTTGATAAGCCAAGCCAGGCAACAGTGGCTCACACCAGTAATCCTAGCTACCCAGTAGGCTGAGATATGAGGATCACGGTTCAAAGCCAGCCTGGGCAGGAAAGTCCGTGAGAGTCTTATCTCCAATTAACCACCAGAAAACCAGAAATGGTGCTCAAGTGGTAGAGTACATGCCTTGAGCTAAAGGACTCAGAGACAGCCCAGATCCATAGGTCAAGCCCCATGGCCTACAAAGAAGAAAAATAAATTGATAAGCCTATAATAGACTTTAAAAAAACAAAATCTGTAGCTAGAAATGAATATTACTTATTTAAAATCTAGTAGCAGCTACTTTTAACAAAAACAGTTGTGAAGTTGTCAGAAAGCAGTTTCAGTTAGGTAATACTGGAGAGACTGTAAATAATGTTGTGTAAAGGACTTAAAACAAGTACCATGAACTTGCTGTCAAGTAAGCAATACCAGCTAGCTCCTTGGAGCGCATTTATGAAGTGACTCAATTCTACTAAAACAGTGTCCTGCACTGAAGTGAAATTCCTTGTCTTCTGTATTTTTGTGTACAGCACAGATTACCCTAATAGTATTGAGATACGGTATAAAAAAAGAACATCCCTGTCTTTGTCTAGATGTTTGTTAATACTGAAAATAATTAGAAAAAACAGAGAGATAACTTATGATTATCTAAGAAAAAAGAGATGTTCAATAGTTTCTCTTTGTTATTTGTTCCCATGGTTACTTCCTTGATTTCTATCCTTATCAATGTTATTTTGTTCTTTCTTGATTTTTCTTTTTTTTCTTTTTCTCAGTCATGGGGCTTGAACTCTGGGCCTACTCACTGTCCATCAGCTTTTCAGCTCATGGCAAGCGCTCTACCTCTTAAGCCACACTGCCACTTCCACTTTTCTGGTGATTAATTGGAGATAAGAGTCTCATGGGACTTTCCTGCCCAGTCTGGCTTTGAACCGCTATCCTCAGATCTCAGCCTCCTGAGTAGCTAGGATTACAGGCATGAGCCACTGGTGCCCGGCTGATTTTTGTTTTCTTAAGACAGAATCTACCTATGCAGCCTTGGCTGGCCTCGAACTTATGATCCTCTTGTCTCGGCAGCCCGGGTGTTGGCATGACGTCATGTACCACCATTCTGGCTTTTTCTTGCTTTTTTTTTTTCTTGTTTTTTAAAGTTGTGTTTCCCCCCACTACCACCACCACCACCACCACCACCACCCACCCCCGTTAAAGCAGAATTTGCTTGTGTTGAGGTTTGGGAAGGAGGAAATGGCTAAAGCAGAAACTCCTGCCCTTCAGAACAGCAATTCTGCATAAGTGGAAAAGTCATCTGATACTTTTACTAAGAAGATCTCCTAAGTTTCCTTAAAAATAAAAATTGTTAGCCGTGCGCCAGTGGCTCACACCTGTAATCCTAGCTACTTAGGAGGCTGAGATCTGAGAATCATGGTTCAAAGCCAGTCTGGGCAGGAAAGTCTGAGAGACTCTAATCTCCAATAAACCACCAGAAAACTGGAAGTGGTACTGTGGCTTAAGTGGTAGAGCACTTGCCTTGAGCTGAAGAGCTCAAGGACAGCACTCAGCCCCACAATGACAAAAAACAAACAGAAAATAAAAATTGTTGCTAAAATAACTACTTGTGTTTTCTTTTGTAAAAGTGCATGTGAATTCATGGACCTATCTAACAATGAATTACCCTAAACAGAGAGAAAGCTAAATATGAATCTCAAGATCAGAGATCACTAGTCTGTTTCCTGTCCCTCAGGTGTTTAAAAGCCTGTTGTTTATTATTGCCCTGAAAAGTAATCATATTTATGTAATCTGATGTCCCAAGGTAACAGCATCCTTCTTAGGACCTGCAGCTTCTCATAATTAGGCATCACTTCTACACCTAAGAGAAGTTTCAAAGCTCTGCACATGTTAGCACCCTTTAATCCTCTAATTAGTGTTTTCTATCCAGTCTGCCTTTTGTTTAGGCTTCTGATTCAGATGTTTAATTATGGAGATGACAGTGCTAGAAAACGATGGGATGTTAGATTTGGCTCCCTCATTACCCCTTTATCTGAGAACAATTCATTCTTTCCACATGTGGGGTACACAGAAGCTACCATGTTTAAAAAGAAAAAAATATCTTCCCTTCTTCCCAGGTGCTAGTGGCTAATCCTGGTGACTCAGGATGCTGAGATCTGAGGATTACAGTGCAAAGCCAGCCCAGGCAGACACATCTATGAAACTCTTTAACTCCAGCTAAGCAGCAAAAAGCCAGATAAAGAACTGTGGCTTAAATGGTAAAGCACCAGCCTTAAGTAAAAGTAGCTAAGAGATAGTGCCTAGGTCCTGAGTTCAAGTCCAAGTATCAGCACACCCACAAAAAATTCTCCTTTCTTATTATATTACATGTATGAAATACTTGGAATCCAGCTGGAAGGTATTAGTAAAGAAAAAGCATAAAGAAAAACAAATTGAAATATAAATTTTGGCCAGCAAGTTAAAAACAAACGCTAAACAATCTCACCTGAGATACAGTTCATCCAGACTTCTAGACTCTTTTCTTCTCCAATAAATAGGGTTATTATTCTCTTCATTAACTTTAAAAAAAAGGTATTTGGTCATTTATCAAATAATTTGAGCTTATGAAAAAGACTTACTATCATTAAAAGGTTATGACAAAGCCATTTGGTGTCAATGTCCCTTCCTATTTCCATGTTAGCTTTCCATTTGCATTTATATCAAAGGCATGTAGAATGTCAGGTTCATCTGTGCCATCCACTTGGAAATGAAGGATATAGTTCAATCTCTGTTTCTACACTTGGTCTCCTAGACACCAGAGACCTGAGTCTGGCAGGTAAAGACAAGAATGAGGAGATACTTTGAAGATAGGGTTACCTGCTTCTGTATTCCCTGGAATGCATATAGTATTTTATACTCTTCTTTCATAGCTTGGACATGAAGTCCTCAGTAAGCAAAATGTATTTGATGGTATGCTCAGGAGTGCTGGCCAGCTGCAAACAATCTTTAGAAAGGACACTACTGCCAGCCTAGGCAGTAAAGTCCGTGAGACTCTACTCTCCAATTAACCACCAAACAACTGGAAGTGACTCTGTGGCTCAAGTGGTAGAGCACTTGTCTTGAACTGGAAGGAGGAGGAGGAGGAGGAGGAGGAGAAAGAGGAAGAGACACTACAAAAATAACACATCTGCTTTCTCTATTGCAGGAGGTACATTATACTTATCAAAGCCCTATTTCTAGGGGGAAGACTCTCAAGCTTCCATATGTAAAAAATACTCAGTAAACATAAAAGACTCATGGTTGCCTTGTTGGTTTAGTTTTATATTTATCCCACATCATTGGTCTTAGGAAATGTCCTAGGTTTTAGTCAACATGTGTGTATATATAAACAAATATATGCATTTATGAACATATATACACATATTTATACATGTATGTATATATCTATGCTCATTTCTTTGGTACAGTTTATATCTCATTAAATTATGTTTCATTTTGTTTGGGGAGCTAGCCTAGTCACTTCATGCTGATGCCAAAGCTACACTAAATATTTAGTAGCCATTAGCACATGTAGCTATTTGAACTTATTAAGTATTATTAAATTCAGTTACTCAGTAACACTAGTGCTGGGTAGCCACATGTAGCAGGATTAGATATAATTAGAATATGCATAAAACTTTCCATCATTACAGAATGTCGTATTTGGTAATGCTGTTCTAGAATGAATATACCTGAAACTAAGGAATTTCAGTAGTAGGGTCGTGCACTAGGGAAGCATTCTGTTACTCAAACCACATCTCCGATCATTTTGCTTTAGGTTGTTTTATCAGGTAAGGTATTCTGCTTTCTGTGGGGCAGGCTTCACACCACATTCCGTTTACTTATGCCTCTGTCTTAGCTGGGATTTCACATATGTGTCTACCCCTCCCCATCTTATTTGTTTAGATAGGGTACTCTCACTAACTTTTTGACTATGCTGGCCCTGAACTTTGATTTCCTGGATCTCTGTCTCCTGAATAGCTGGGATTCCCAGCCTAAGCCACCATCCCTGGACTTCAACCTAAATAATAAGCGAATACATTCAGCAGCTTTAGGTATTAGTACAGTTCACAATTATCACTCTTTTATCATCAGTACTGTTCATTTATAGTTTGCTATAATTTCGATCTGGAATGTCTCCTAAAAGTTCTGGGTTAAAAGCTTGGTCCTTAGCTTATGGTACCCTTGGCAGGCAGAAGAAAGTTTAAGATTCGGAGACTAGTGACAGGAAGTTACAACCTTCCAAGTCCTTGAAGGGGATATTGGAACGTGGGTCCCTTCTTTTCTTCCTTTCTTGCTTCCCAACTGCCACAAGGAAAGCAGCTACTCTACTACATGCTCTGTTCCACCATATGCTGACTTGCCACAGGCCCAAAAAACTGGCCCACCAGACCATTGACTGAATATGTGAGCCAAAATGAGCCTCAGGTATTGACTCAGAAGTAGAAAGCTAACACCAAGTTTAATGACCATCTCATTTAACTAAAGTTTTCTGGGTGCTAATGGCTTGTGCTTATAATCCTAGTCACTTGGGAGGCTGATAATGAGAGGATCACCATTCCAGGCCAGCATGGGCAAAAAGTTCATGTCTCAACAGAAGAAACTAGACATGATGGCACACATTCATCATCCCAGTGACTATGGGAATCCTAGAATAGGCAGATCATGGTACAGGTACACTCATGGCAGGAACTGAGACCCTATCTCAAAAATAACTGGCATAGGGGGCTAAGTGGTAGAGTGCTTGCCTTGCATGCATGAGGCCCTGGGTTCGATTCCTCAGCACCACATAAGCAGAAAAAGCCAGAAGTAGTACTGTGGCTCAAATGGAAGAATGCTAGCCTTGAGCTGAAGAGCTGAGGGACAGCACCCAGACCAGAGTTCAGGCCCCACGATCAACCCCCCCCCAATAATAACTGGCATAAAATAGGGCTGGCTCCTTGTACAATGCCTGTCTGGCAGGCACAAGGCCCTAAGTTCAAACTCAAGTACTGCCAAATGTGGGGCAGGGTTGGAGGGCAAAGGGGAATTACCACTTTTGATTTTCTAGCATTTCCTTGCAATCAATAAATGCTTACCTCATGTTTAGCTATTAACTCAAAAAAATTATGATTCAAAATGTTAACTGTAGCCCACATAAAGACACAGGTATGCTTAAGATGAAGTATTTATTTATATCTGCAGAAAAGTTGGGCCTAATTAAAAATTGTGTACAAATGTGGTGATTTAAAAACTAAGCAGTTTTACTATAAATAAGCCACTATTTCAAGCTTTCTTTGTTCAGGCAATCAGGTTGACTGGAACATGGACACCTTTGCCATATGATAAAAATATTCCCTAGGCTTTCACCCAAGAGGTTTGGAGTCCGTCCTAATAATTACCTTTATTTAAATATGCAATAGTGAATGCTTGCTGCTCCTCTAGGCATGACATCATCAGTAACATTAAAGATGTTGGTAATACTATTGGCAGACAGCACAACACATTTGAGCCTATCTCTCTCTTGCTCAGGGTTCCATATTACTGACTGTCTAGGAGTTGAACCACAGGGTCCAATGTAAACAGCAATGCCTAATTTGGGGGAACAAACAGATTGAGAAGAGCAGAAAATATAGAGAACATCATTCACATGATGGAAAGAGGGAATCTTTTGTGAATCTTGTAATGTGTGTTATGGTTTCTTGTGACAGCTACAATTGTGTGCCTCAAATGCGTAGTATCAGATGGTCCCTTTGGGGATGCAAGTAAAGAACAGGTAGGAGAGGCATTCTATGAATAGTGCTGTGTATGTACACAAGATAAAACTCTTCCTTTAATTTATTTTGCAAAACGTCTAGGAATTTAAATTTTGTAAGACTTTTACCTGCCTTATTAAAAGCATTATTTTAATGCATTTTTAGGCTTAGACATATGTTGAAGAAAAGCCAAGAAAAATCATGCTTGTGAACAGGATAAATATGCACTCAAGACAACTAACACCAGTTACACACCCTAATTAGTGTGACAAGAGACCAGGTGAGCAACCAGGGATTTTGTAAACCTGCTAATTACAACTTATACAGTTTCTGTGTATGTGTGAAATGGTGCTTGTCCAGGAAAATGTACAAACGCCATATAATTTTTACGTTTTACAGCTACCCCACACTCTGGGAGGCTATGAATCTGACTTGGAGTGAAGTCTAAGAAACAATAAATGGGCTGGTATGAATGCCAGAAATAAAAGGGCTAATCAATGGACCCCCTTGGACTTTCATTCTCCCTCTCTCCTTCCCTATACTAAGGATCATGAGTTTGGAGCTATTTTGGGCTACATAGTGGGCCCTGGATCAAAAGCAAACAAACAATAATAACAAACATAAAAGCCAACCATCAGTAGCTCAGGGCTATAATCCTAGCTATTTAAAAAGGTAAGATCTAAGGATTGAGATACAAAGCCAGCTAGGGGAGGAAAGTCTCAGAGACACTGTCACCAATTAGAAGCAAAAGTGCTGGACAGGAGGTGTGGCTCAAGGTGTGGCTCAGCCCTGCCATGAACATAAAAATAAATCTAGGCCCTAAGGTCAAGTCCCAGTCCCAGCACCCCGTACCCCAACAACAAACCAAACCAATACCAATGAAATAAACTAGAATCTCTCATCAGATCATTCACTATGTCTAATTGGGTTCTTTACCCTCTACAGTTCTCCAGATGATGTTTGATCACGTTAGCATCTAGGTCAATTTAGCCAGTATCCTCCTTAATGATTCTTCTTAATAACTGTTTTTTTTTAAGTCCTGTGGCTTAAACTTGGGGTTTCACACTTGCTAGGTATGTACTCTACTGCTGAACCATGCTCCCAGCCTTTTTTGGCACTAGTTATTTTTGAGGTAAAGTCTTGCTGGGTGTGTACTAATCTGCTTCCCCACATAGCTTGGTTGACAGGCTTGTGCTATCGTTCTTAGCTTCTGTTGATGTGGAGGCTCAAACTTTTCTGCTGTGGCTATTACTAGAAGCACAGCCCTCCAGATCTCAACCTCCCCTGTAGCTAAGAAGGTGATCTTCACATCCAGCTATCAGTTGGGAAGATCTAGAAAATTTTGGTGCTCAGGCTGGCCTGAAACCAGTTTCTTCCCACTCCCCAGATACTAACTTCTCCTTCTAAAACCAATATTGAGCATGTTTTGTTTTGTTTTTGCCTGCCTTCCTTTCTTCCTTTCCTCCCTCCTTCCTTTCTTTCTCCCTTTCTTTGCTTCCTTTCCTTCTCTTTTTTTGTGTTTTTGGTCAGTTGTAGGGTTTGAACTCTGGGCCTGGGCACTGTCCCTCAGCTCTTCAGTTCAAGGCGAGCGCTCTTGATCCACAGCACCACTTACGGTTTTCTGGTGGTCAACTGGAGATAAACAGTCACATGGACTTTCCTGCGTAGGCTGGCTTTGAACCGCCATCCCCAGGTCTCAGCCTCCTGAGTGTGAGCCACCATCACCTAGCCCTTTCCTTCTTTTCTATGTACAGGTTTTTAGTTGCAAATGTGTCAAGACACTCTGCTGCTGATAATGAAAGGATAGGATCAGTTCATCTCCGATGGACAGAACATTAGCTTTTGTGCTTCATTAATAAACTGGCCTTTGCCAAGGTATAACACATACCTTTTTTGTTGTTAGCATTGGCATGATGAAATGGAAATAATAATTTCCTGACACCTTTTTGCTTTTCATCCTCTTTTTTCAAAACAGTTGAAGAATAGAGGATACGAATGTGTTGGTTGGTTTCTCTATCTGGTGATCTCAAAAATTCTGGGTAATCATCAATCTGGAAAAAAATTAATTGAGCTTATTAAAGACAAATAGGACTGCTTACTCCTTTGAGAGTAATAATCCCCCCTGCCAAAATCAAGCACAATTTTAAACTGCATTTTTTCTTTTCATATTCCCCATTGGGACATGTTTTCTCTTCTTGTTGTTATATTTCCCAATCCTTTTTCTATTTGCTTTAGTCCTTACTACAAGTGTGCTCAGCAACAGAACCCAAGAAACTATTTCCACTATAGGATTACTGAATAAATAGTAACAATGTTTTTATTTGTTTTTTTTGGGGGGGGGGTCCGGTCGTGGGGCCTAAACTCTGGGCCTGGGCGCTGTCCCTAAGCTCTTCAGCTCAAGGCTAGCACTGTACCACTTGAGCCACAACGCCACTTCTGGCTTTTTTCTTTTTGCTTATGTGGTGCTGAGGAATCAAACCCAAGGCCTCATGCATGCAAGGCAAGCAAGCGCTCTACCACTGAGCCACCTTCCCAGCCCCAATGTTTTTATTTGTTAAAAGATATCCCTCTCCACTTCCATTTTGAAAATACTCTTTTCAAAAAAGATACCACGTACACTAAGATTATCATTGTATTCACCTAATAATATACATATGTGAAAATGGAACCAAGTAATTTAGGGGGATGAGTGGAGTTGAAATAGATAGGGAGGGTAGAAAGATGGAAGGGATGATACTGATCAAGATGCACTGTACTCATATATTGACACATTGAATTGAAACCCCTTTGTACAGCTAAAGATAATTTAAAAACAAATGTTAGACTAGGTGTCGGTGGTTCACCCCTGTAATCCTAACTACTCAGCGGGCTGACATCTGAGAATTGCGATTAGAGGCCAGCCCAGGCACAAAAAAATCCATGGGACTCTTACCTATAATAAACTACTCAGAAAAGCTGCACGTAGAACTGTGACTCAAGTAGTAGAGCACTAGCCTTGATCACAGAGAGGCTCAGTACAGTGCCCAGGCCCTAAATTCAAGCAGCAAATTTTTATTTATCTACTTATTTTGTTGGTCGTGGGGCTTAGGAACTGCCCCAGCTCTTCAGCTCAAGGCAAGCATTCTACCACTTGAGCCACAGTGCCATTTCCAGTTTTCTGAGTGATTAATTGGAGATTAAGAGTCTCACGGACTTTCCTGCCTGAGCTGGCTTTGACCTGCAATCCTCAGATCTCAGACTCCTGAGTAGTTAGAATTACAGGCATGAGCCACCGGCACCCTGCTTAAATACATTTTTTAAAGGTCTCAAAAAAGCATAATTTAATGAACCTTAAATTGGAAGTTTTTCTATCCAGGAGACAATAGTCTATAAGAGATTTGGAGTATAAACATCTAGGTTTGAACCATTAAAAAGTTTCAAAGTCCTCGGTTTTCTTCTTTATTTTTTTTTTTTTTGGTCCGGTCATGGGGCCTGAACTCTGGGCCTGGGCACTGTCCCTCAGCTATTCAGCTCAAGGCTAGTGCTCTACCACTTGAGCCACAGCGTCATTTCCAGTTTTTTTTTTCTGCTTATGTGGTGCTGAGGAATCGAACCCAGGGCCTCATGCATACAAGGCAAGTGCTCTACCACTGAGCCAACTTCCCAGCCCAAGTCCTCTGTTTTCTATTCTTGATTTTACTTATTTATTTATTTTGTGCTGTACTGGAGCTCAAACTCAGGGTATCACACTCTTCCTGGCTTGCATTCTACCAGTTGAGCCACCATTCCACTTCTAGCTGGCTAACTAGAAAGAAGAGTCTTCAGGACTTTCTGCTTGAGCTGGCCTTGTACTAGGATCTTCAGATCTTAAGCTCTTGAGTAGCAAGGATTGAAGAAATGAGTCACCAGCATTGGTATTCTATTCTGTATGTGGAGGTGGGGTAGGAGGGGTTTGGGGCTTGGGGTTGGGGGTGGGGGTATGTTCTGGTACTGGGGCTTGAAATCAGGGCCTAGACACCATCCTTGAGCTTTTTTGGCTCACAGCTGGCACTCTACCACTTGAGCCACAGCTTTACTTCCAGCTTTCTGGTGGTTAATTGGAGCTAAAGTCTCAGGAACGTTTCTGCCCAGGCTGGCTTCAAACTGTGATCCTCAGATTCAGTCTACTGAGAAGCTAGGGTTAGCCATTCACCTTCATTGAAACAGTGCTTTACTGGTCCTGCTGATTTGGGTTTAGCCATCCTATAACAAGCTGATCCAACACATGCTGGTTCTTCCTTCTGGAGTGTATTTGCCCCTTTTCTCTGCCTAGAAAATTGTATTCATCCTTTAAAATCAAGCTTTTCGCTTTCTCAACAAAATGTCACCTGTGACATGCTCCTGACAGAATTCTTCAGAGTTCCTATAACATTGCTTTACTACATCTGTTGTCCTGTTTCATTGTAAATGTCTGCCCGTAACTTTTTTTTTCTTTTTTTTTTTCATCTGCTTGTCCCCCTTCCTAAATTATGAGACACTCAAAAGCATGTATCATTTTCTTTAATTCATTCTTAGGTCCTAGTAATTCAATATATTGGTTAAATGTGCCATAAAAAAAGCTATCATCCATATGTTGTAGAGAAGTCTGGGCCCCTGTTTAAAAATCAATTTACTAAATGGTACATTATGTAGTAAACATAAGGCCCAGCAAGAACTAAAATGACATCTTTCAACTCTCAGGATCTTTGGGGGCTTTAACGTCCTTTATGCACAGCAAACAAACTCTCCAATCTCCAATAAACGAAGGAAATCAATTAAGTAGTTATAGTTTAATGAGTTACCTGTTCCAAAAGTATTTTAGAGAAAACATAAAAGACTATGGCTGGCTGGGAAGGTGGCTGAGTGGTAGAGCGCTCGCCTTGCATGCCTGAGGCCCTGGGTTCGATTCCTCAGCACCACATAAGCAAAAAGAAAAAAGCTGGAAGTGGCACTGTGCCTCAAGTGGTAGAGCGCTAGCCTTGAGCTGAAGAGCTGAGGGACAGCGTCCAGGCCCAGAGTTCAAGCCCCATGACCGGACCCCCCCCCAAAAAAAAAAGACTATGGCCAACTTTCCACCTGTTTATGGAGACATTTTGAGTGGATTGCCATCAAATTAAACTATAGTAGTGATTGCCTATGTCACACTGTCCATAGCTTAGTCCTAAAGAGAAGCTTTTTTTAAAAAACAGTTGGAACCTGAGAGATACTTCTACTGTTTTAACTAGAAACCTGATTGTAGTCTCTATCAGGTGTTTTACTTTCCATTATACTCTACCTCAGCACTAGTGTACCAGTCCCTTAGGAAGTTTGAGTAGATGAGTTGGTTTAGGAGTCTGTGAATATTGCTAGTATAAAAGGATCCACCACAAAGTCTGAAAAGGATTATTAGTTTTGAGAATTGACCAGTGTCTAGAAAAGACTCCTTAGACCATTTCATTGTTAAAATTGAAAAAAAATCATTGCCTCAGGGCCAAGGGCCAAAGGCCACAGCTAAGAAAGACTTAGGCCTGAACTCTGGGTCTGTGCGCTGTCCCTCAGCTCTTCAGCTCAAGGCTAGCACTCTACCACCACTTGAGCCACTGCACCACTTCTGGCTTTTTTCTTTTTGCTTATGTGGTGCTGAGGAATCGAACCCAGGGCCTCATGCATACAAGGCAAGCGCTCTACCGCTGAGCCACCTTTCCAGCCCTAGAAATAAGTATTTCAAGTCTTGGTCTTGTCTAAAGGATGCTACATCTCTCAGCTAAGCCTGTCCTTGAATCTCATCAGCAGTATCAATGGTAGCAATCACAGCCTTGGAATGACAACAGCCTTGAGGAGTTATGGCATAAAAGGATGAACAAGGTGTTTTTGTTTGGTCTGATGTTGTTTGTTTAAGTAGGGGGGAGGGTGAGGTCTCACTTGTTGACTAGGCTGGCCTCAAATACATAATCCTCCTGCCTCAGCCTCTGCAGTAGCTAGGATTACAGATCAAGCTAACAAGGTGTTCATAATTTCAGCCCTTCCCTTAAGATGACTATGTTGTTTCTATAGCAAAACTTAAAGGTTTCTAAAGTGTCATAAATTTGAAGAAGATAAACATTACTCTGTGTACAGTGGTGGAAGAATACTGACACAGGCCAAAAGCCCCAGGGTTGCATTCTAGCTCAGATTGTTTAGGAATATGTGACCTCATAGAAGTGTTTACCCTTGCTTTACCTGTGTTTCCTTATCCGTAAAAGACAAATAATATACCTTCCTTATAAACTTAATAAGATTATGTGAGATACTCTATTTAAAAGAGTTTTGCACAATACTCTTTATTTAAAAGTTTTTTTCAATTGGTATTTTTTTATTATTAATGACCATAAGAAGCTCAGCAATACAATACTAATATTCATGTTCTACTCTGCTCAAAATTTGTCTCTGATTATCTCAATGCAGCAAAATGAATTTGGGGAGAAAAGATAATTTGTTATTATCTCAAATGAATAACATGAATACACCCCTAACTTCTTTAAATATATCCCTAATTTCTTCTTTAAGAATACTGTGTTGGTTGGGCTGGGAAGGTGGCTCAGTGGTAGAGCGCTCGCCTTGCATGCTTGAGGCCCTGGGTTCAATTCCTCAGCACCACATAAGCCGGAAGTGGCGCTGTGGCTCAAGCGAGCCTTGAGCTGAAGAGCTGAGGGACAGTGCCCAGGCCCAGAGTTCAAGCCCCACGACCAGACCCAAAAAAAAAAAAAAAAAAAGAATACTGTGTTGGGGCTGGGAATGTGGCTTAGTGATAGAGTGCTTGCCTAGCATGCAGGCAAGCCGTGGATTTGATTCCTCAGAACCACTTAAGAAAAAGCCAGCTGTGGCTCAAATGGTAGAGTGCTGGTTAAGCAAAAGAAGCTCAGGGACAGGGCTGGGAAGGTGGCTCAGTGGTAGAGCGCTTGTCTTGCATGCATGAGGCCCTGGGTTCAATTCCTCAGTACCACATAAGCAGAAAAAGCCAGAAGTGGAGCTGTGGCTCAAGTGGTAGAGTGCTAGCCTTGAGCTGAAGAGCTGAGGGACAGCGCCCAGGCCCAGAATTCAGGCCCCATGACTGGCAAAAAAAAAAACGCTCAGGGACAGTTCCAGGCCCAGAGTTCAAGCCCCAGGACTGGTTAAAAAAAAGAAAATACTATATGTTGGGCAGTGGTGGCTCATGCCTATAATCCTAACTACTTAGGAAGCTGAGATCTGAGGATAAGAATCAAAGCCAGCTGGGGGAGAAAGTCCCATGACACTTTATCTCCAATAAACCAGTCAGAAAACCAGAAGTGGTGCTGTGGCTCAAATGGTAGAGAACTAGCATTGAGCTGAAGAGCTGAGGGACAGTGCCCAGGCCCAATAAATACTGTGTATCTACATTTTATCACATTTATATTTGCAACTGGTTTTAATTTCTCCTACATTAAAATATAACTTTCAAAGTGTAATGGGTTTATTTTCTAGGTTTCCAATATTTTAGGAACAAAGCCATATTTTAATCCTTTCATCTCAGATACCGTCTATCAGCTTTTTTTTTTTTTCAGTCAGTCTTGGGGCTTGAACTCTGGGCCTGGCTGCTATCCCTCTGCTCTTCAGCTCAAGGCTAGCGCTTTACCACTTGAGCCACAGCGCCACTTCTTCTATCAGCTTTTAACTTCAGAAATCTTCACAGGTGGTTTTTGTTTTCTTTTGTTTTTACCAGTTGTGGGGCTTGAACTCAGGGCCTGACAGACCCTGAGCTTCTTTTACTCAAGGCTAGTATTTTACCACTTAAGCCACAGCACCACTTCTGGCCTTTTCTTATTATGTGGTACAGAGGAATTGAACCCAGGACTTCATGCATGCTAGACACTAAGCTACATTCCCAACCCACAGCTGATTTTCTAGTTTCTAATTTATTCACCATATATATATATATATATATATATATATATATATTTGATCTACAAAGTTCCAAACTGAGATACATAAAATCTGAGATGGATTTCTGTGTTCAAAGAGCTTAGAGTCTTGTGGAGATTCAGTCAACCACAAAACAAATTTTCCAGTGCTAGGACTTGAACTCTAGGTCTTTTACATGCTAATAAGCAAGAGCTCTCTCACTGAAGTATATTCTGAGCCCTTGGAGTTTTGAGACAGGATCTCTCAATATAATCCAGGCTAGCCTTGAACTCGTGATCATCCAGTGCCTGCCTCCAAAGTGCTGGAATTGCTGGAATGTACCACAGCGTCGGGCCTTTCATCTAGTTTTTAAGTGTTTCTGTCATAAAATATGAATTTCAAAATACAACTTTG